TTTTTTATATTCTTTATATTCTTTATATTCTTTATATTCTTTATATTCTTTATATTCTTTATATTCTTTATTAACTATTCTATACTTTTCTACCTTATTCTTATGTTATTATACACTATAACTTATATCATCTTCTACCTTATACCTTATACCCTATATGACCCTTTTCACTCTTTCTGACTTTTATGTGTGTTGGTTTCATGGTGTAGTTGGTTATCACATCACTTTTACGTAGTGAGGGTCCCCGGTTCAAACCCGGGTGGAACCATTTTATACTTATTATCTCTATACCTTTATATGTTTATATGTTTATACCTTTTATACCTTTTATACCTTTATATGTCAACTTATCTTTATACCTTTATACCTTCTTATCTTCTTTTCTATATATGTACCTATATTATTACTTATACTTCTACTCCTATATTTCTATCCTTTTCTATGTATCTATGTATGTATATTACTTAGACTTTATATTTCTTATTTTATATTTTATATTTTATATTATTACTTAGACTTTATATTTTATACTTTATATTTTATACTTTATACTTTATACTTTATACTTTATACTTTATACTTTATACTTTATACTTTATACTTCTTACCTTATACCTCTTTAGTGCTTTTCTTATTCTTTCATCGGTAGGTTCATATCAAGTAGGATACACCCGTTCCCATCCGAACACGGAAGTAAAGATGCTTAGAGCCTGATCAGTACCATTATGTTCACACAGATGGGAACGTCAGGTAATCTACCTTTTTTATATTATTTCAACTTATCCTTTATTATATTTTTTATATTTTTTATATTTTTTATATTCTTTATATTCTTTATATTCTTTATATTCTTTATATTCTTTATATTCTTTATATTCTTTATTAACTATTCTATACTTTTCTACCTTATTCTTATGTTATTATACACTATAACTTATATCATCTTCTACCTTATACCTTATACCCTATATGACCCTTTTCACTCTTTCTGACTTTTATGTGTGTTGGTTTCATGGTGTAGTTGGTTATCACATCACTTTTACGTAGTGAGGGGTCCCGGTTCAAACCCGGGTGGGACCATTTTAT